TCAGATCACCCAAAAATGTCTACTACAAGATAATAACCTCCATAAAATTTTTGTAATCTTGAAAAATTAGGTAGATTGATACTACCAGATATCAACACCTTTGATCGGAACAAGAAAGAAACTAGGAGAATTAGCCAAATTTAAAGTTCTTCGTTTTTCTTTTTGGTGACCGTGTCTTTTGACAAAGTATGCTGTGTGTTTTTCTCTCTCAAACTCTTTTTGTCAAAGTTCTAACATGTTTGGTTAAGCTTCTTTTGAGGCAAGAATATTTTTTTTGGTCAAAAATATTTTTTTTTTTCTAAAATTAAGATGTTTGGCCAAACTTTTGAAAGAAAAAAAAAGTGTTTTTGAAGAGAAGCATAACAGTTTTGGAGAAGCAGAAAAAAGTAACTTATCTTCAAAAATATTTTTTTGAAAATCACTTTTGAGAAAAATACACTTAAAATAGTTTTTTAAAGCTTGGCCAAACACTAATTGCTGCTCAGAAGTACTTTTCAAATTAATTAGCCAAACACAAACTGTTTTTTCACCAAAAGCACTTTTGAAAAGAAAATACTTATCAAAATAAGATCATTTTTGCAGCTTGGCTAAACGGGCTATTCGACTGACTTCTTTACAGCACTTTTTTCTTTCTTTTGGCACAAAGAAAAAGGAATGAGCAACTTCCCCGTTGTGGCACTGCACGAACTTTGTTATCCCTCTATTTCAATTTTAGATGGATAGTTTGACTCGGCAAGAAATTTAAAAAACAAAAGAAATATGTCATTTGTGTGGTTATAAAATCTTTGTAGAGCCATGACATTTGTATGATTATAAAATTTTCCCATTAAGCATAAAATAGGTAAAATAAAGAGTTTAAAATTGAATTATTTCCTATCGTAGAAATATGTCATTCTTTTTGGAACGAACTAATAAGAAAAATGTGCCATCTAAATTAAAAAAGAGAGAGCTATTGGTATATGGGGAAAAAAGAGAACGATGTGACCTACCGGATGAGGTAAATTCTAAAACAACGGAGGTCTCGGGTTTGAATCTAGTTTGGGAAATTTCTTAAATTTTTATCATCAAGGGTTATAGTACAGCAATAAGTACTCTTTCATTCATAATTAGAGGTCTAGAATTCTAACTTTGGGTATGAAATCACCTTTGTTAAGGAATATTTTACCTCCCATTATAAAATTTTCCGATGCAAATCTGAATTTAGTCGGGCTCTAATACGAATATCAAATATTGGGTGAAAAACCCAAAAAAAAAAAAATTCTAATAACTTAATTGGGCTTCAATACGAATACTAGGCAAATATATATACAAACGTTCTGGCAAATGAAGGTCATAGACATGAATATAGAGTTTTTACACTTGACAGATTTAAACAATGTAGCTTATGAATAATTTTATTATTTCAATTTTAGTATTTTACAATGTACCCAAAAAAGGAATGACAGTCCAGTACTCTTTGACAACAATTAATACTGTATTTTTTCTGATTGCCTCTGAAATATTTTTTATCTGCGGATGGTGAATTCAATTCTTTCAAATTAAAGCTAAAAAGAGCTTACAAATTTATTTGACCGATTTAAAAATCAATTATCTTTTACTCTGTACAACTCGTCATTAATTCTACCAATATCAGTAGCACCATGTGAGGTGGGACACTACAAAATGTGCTTAAAGAAAGGAAAGCGTAAGTATGAGAGTGGGTTGGATTTGGCATATTGCAGCACGGTACCAATAATTTTTGTTCAAATAATATATTTGCAAGAAATTTATTAAATATATACGCATACTAAATTTAGAACTAAATTATTATTACTTGAAGTCATTATTCTAAAATTTAGAACTTATAAAATTAAAATACTGACTCCGCTTTTTCGTATCGGTGACATCAATTCTAAGCAAAAAAGATGCTAGGCATATATAGTAAAACACTCATCGTATAGTGATTGCAGATGTTTAGGGATGAATAATGATGATAGAGTCCAGAAATAAACAAACAACTTTTATAGCATTTCACTATCATATTAATTCAATCATTACTATTAAATCATAATGATACATGCACATAATTCAAATCGATCAAGTCCAAATAGTCTCTAAAATTTTCCCTAAATTTTAATGATTTGCAGGTCCATGTTCTTTGTTGTTCCTTTCTAACGTTCCTTTTGCCATGTGAAAATCACGTATTGTTAGAAAATTCTCCATCTAATGATGAAGTCAACTGTATTTTGCAATTATGTCACTTATCTTATATGTAAATCTCTCGATAAAAGCTACTCTTTTTCTTCAATTTTACTTTTCACTTTTCGAGAGTCAATTTGATTAATATTTGAAGCTAAATTGGATTAATTTTTTTTAATATTTTATAATTAAAATTTAAATATTTAAAAACTATACGAAATATATTATAATTTGCAATTAGTCTCATATCAATATGGTGAAAAAATACATGTTAAAATATTGGTCAAAGTTAGATAGTTTGACTCTTGAAAAATGAAACATGACATGTAAAAGTGAATGAGGGTTGGAGTAATAATTAATATTATGATAAAAGTGATAACTTAATTATTATTGTTGTTAATATTTATTGATAATATATAATGTCAGTGTATTTAAAAATAAAAACAAAAAGTTCTTACCAGTTACAAATCTCAAAGTTACAAGTTTATCGAATCAAGTAAGTAAACGTTACACTTTGAACTATTAAGTGTTGGACTTTAGTCAACACATAATTGATAGTCTTCCGACAATTCAACGTAGAATATATAAGTTTAATAATCTAATTTCAGATGAGTCAATGTATAATCTTGATGAATTTAAGATATCAATAATTGGATCCTATCCGTGTAATATGGCGAGACTACAATCCACTCGTATTGCGGGCACAGACGTACTTACTAACAAAAACCTTTTATTTTGTTAAACTTACTTAGGTGGATGCAATAAAAATACTCAATAAAATTGTTAGGTTTCAGTTTACTAGCCCTTACATCCGTCAAACTTATTTACTCATTTTCCGCTATAATAAATTTACTTTATTTCTTTCTTAAACATCTCGTAATTTTGACGGCCTTTTCATTCCTCACTTTTGTTTTTGCCAAACCAATTAAATCTGCCTCTTATATAATCTTTGGCCTCTCTCTACTTCTCTACTTTACATTCCATATAAACATATGCAAACGGAACAATTAAAGGAAAAAATAACAGGCTAGTCAGATAATAGTGCGGAAATACGAGAATTAGCAGATTGCTGCAGTAAAGATGAAATAAATAAAGAAAACCCAATATTCGAATATTCCTCGCATTCACAATATAGGAAAAGTATTGATAGGTATTTTAAAAAGTTATAGTCCAGTTGAGTCCACATTCGGCACCACCGCGCTTAAAAGCAAAAGCTCAGATGCTGGGCGGAGCTGGAACTCTGTATACGGATTCAGTCGAACTTAATAATTTTTGCTCGAATAACGTGTTTGTGTAAAAAATTTCCAAATATACAATAAGATTTCAAATCTTTATAAAACTCAAAATGCAATGAGTTAAAATTTTGACTCAGGCTTTACCAGTAGAGCCGGATCTAAGATTTCTTGAATATGTGTGCACCACTAAAAAAAGGAGTACCCATCTGTTCCAGTTTACGTGAACCTATTTCCTTTTTGGTCCGTTCCAAAAAGAATGACCCCTTTCTAAATTTGGTAACAATTTAGGTTAAACTTACAATTCTACCATTAATGAGAAGTTTCTATAACCACACAAATACTCTGGGTCACTTTTTGATTTGTTTATGACCACAAATTCCAAAAGTCTTTCATTTTTTCTTAAACTCCGTGTCCAGTCAAACATGTTCACATAAATTGAAACGGAGGGAGTAAGTGTTAATCGAACCCTGATCCTCATGGTAAATAACTCAATATTCAACCAAGTGCACTAATCAATCTTTTTGGAACATGGATAGCACCTAATAATATAGACTAATTCTAGCACGTATATAAAATACCTAATTTGACGGTGAGACCATGAGTTCACGTGCCCGTAATTGGGGCTTTAAATCTGCCTATTTTTGCCAGCATCCAACAGGCCTCAAAGTTCCAACAAATTGTCAAATACTCTTTTCCCTATAATTTCTTTTAACAATAGTAATGTATGTATTTCAACTTGAGGCACAAAAAGGGGAAATTTTCAGAGCAAAGTGTAACAGCAATTCTCTGGCAAAGTTAAAAGGGAGGCCCTCCCTCTTTTGGCTTCCTTCTCCTATCCCTGAAAAGCAAACTTTAGTCTAAACTTGACACTCTTCTACACCCACACGCGTACGCTAATCACAAAATCACTCCTAGTACTTGTTTTAACTCTTACACTAAAGCTACTATTACTTGTTTTTTTTTTTTGATAGAGACGGTGCCAGAATTTGAACCTTATGAGTTTAAAATTGTAATTTTTTTTAAATTACTGAGTTCTAAATTAATAAGTTGTACATATTCAATAGATTTCTTAAGACAAATACTTAATTTGATCAAAAGTTATTGGGTTCGGCCGAACCCGCATCAAGCACTCTACCTCCGCCTTTTTTTTTAATTTTTTTTTTACTTATTTGGAGCCTAATTTGAATTTGTGCAAATCAAGACTAATTAAAGGTAGTTAGGTACTACTGAATTGACACAACATATTTAAAGAAAAATGTTATTTATAAAATTTCTCTATATTAAGAACTCTCCTATGATTTTTGTTGATAGTATTGATATATTATCTCTTTTTCGTCTTCACAGAAGGTCTATCGAAAGCAGTAAATTCACTGAGACGATGTTATTTATATTCAGAACTCAAATGCGAAACCTGAAGGAAAGAATCTCCTCCATCTAACCTAGTAATTAGTGGTAACATGCTATTACTTGTTACTAGGATTAGGAGTAGTATTTACATTCTGGCAACAGCATTTTAGCTTTCCATTTGTATTCCTTACCCCTCCCATTTTTGTAACTCTTCACTTTGCTTTCTTCCTNCCACCTCCTCACTTTCTCTCTGCTAAACTACAAACAGACGACAAAACTCCGCGCTGGCAAAGATTCCATCTTTAATTGTCCCTCCAAAGACCTACTCCACCCCCACCCCCCTAGGGTAGTTCTTGTTCTTCCCCTCTATCACTCTCTAATTCCCCACAACCTAAAATTCTACAACTGCTCAGTCTAGTGCAATTCCCATCTCTTTCTTTATTTCATTCTCACAAATCAAAACCCCACCCTTTTAATTATTTATTTTATTATTAACCAACAATCATTCTCCAAGTATCTTTCTTTCATTATTTTTATATTTCTGTTTGAAACTAAATTAATAATAATGGGTTGCACCAGCTCCAAAATTGATGATTTGCCGGCGGTCGCTCTCTGCCGTGACCGTTGTACCTTTTTAGACGAAGCTATTCACTACCGTTACGCTTTAGCTGAAGCTCATCTCGCTTATCTTCACTCCCTCAAATCAGTCGGCCTCTCTCTTCATCATTTTTTCGAACAAAATGTCGATATTTCTGATTCTACCCCTGAACTTCATTCCCCTGTTAAAACTGACCCCTCTAAAAAACCTCATGCCGCTGCTCCTCCTCCTCTGCCTGCTACTGCTGCTGCTGCCATTGATCAAAATCATGATTCTCATTCGAGTTCCGGTTCTCATCTTCATTTTCACTCTGATTCTGATGAAGAAGGTTCTGGTTCTGGTTCTGAATCTTTACATCATCATTTAGATACTCAGATGCCACGTCATCAGTACGGTCATCTCAGTTATGCGGATCATGAAATGCTTGGTTTTGGAGCTCCTTATCCAGTTGGTGGGGGTAGTGGGTATATGCATATGAATTTTATGAGGAACCAAACTACACCGTCTGTTACACATGAACAACGGCCAATGAGTACTGAAACTGTTCGTATGAGTGAACCCTATCCTTATCCTTATGCTAATAACTATCTGGATTATCCTATTTACGGGGGCGAATTTTTTTCCTCTTCGTTGTCAAGGCCGTATGGGGTTTCATCGGCGGCGGGGCCGTCATCCACGGCGGCGGTGGCTTCGAGCTCGAAACCGCCACCGCCTCCACCATCTCCGCCGAGGAGTTCACCTTGGGAATTCTTGAATCCATTTGAGACATTTGAGAACTATCCAGCACCAGCGTACACATCGAGCAGAGACTCGAGAGAGGTGAGAGAAGAGGAGGGGATACCTGATTTGGAAAGTGAGGATTTTGATCATGAGGTTGTTAAGGAAGTTCACGAGGATCAAAGATTTGCGGAGGAGGGCCCGAAGGCAGTTGCTGAGAATGAGAATGATAATGAGAAGATGGCTGATTCAGAATTGTTGCACAGGCCGAGGCCAAGTTCATCCACTGAGGATGATCCGGTTGAGTATGAGGTGCACGTGGTGGATAAGAAAGTGGTTGATGAGGAGGAGGGGCGAGGAAATGTAGCTGGTTTTAAGGGTCGTAGTTTGAAGAGTGACTCTGATGTTGTGAAGGAGATTCAGGTTCAATTTGAGCGAGCTTCTGAATCAGGGAATGAGCTTGCTATTATGCTCGAGGTTGGAAAACTTCCTCATAACCGTAAGCACGCCACATATCAAGGTATATAATTTTGACCATGTTTGATCTTTGATGGCTTTTTCCTTGGAAAGAGTTTATCTTTATGAGCTATTGAACTTTTGTCGATTAATGCAAAGAGTATAATTGCTTTTCTTGATGTTTGAGGTTGTTTCTAATTGATCTTTAACTTTCCATTTCATGGTCATTTCATCGGGATAGTGAATTCCAAGATGTTGCACGCGATTACCCCTAATTCCTTATCTATAGTCTCGCAACCTTCTACCTCAAAGAATGCTGCAATTGAGAGTGCTGATCCTGCCATTTTAGATGTAGAAGGAGATATTATTTCAAGGTCTAGAAATATTTCGTCTACATTACAGAAGCTGTACCTCTGGGAGAAGAAACTGTTTGAGGAGATTAAGGTATTGTTTTTTCTACTGGTTCACTCTTTTTTTTTTTTTTTTTTTCCTGTTGTCTACCATTTAGAAACTTTGGATGGGCCATTTATTTTGGACGGTGGCAGTTACTTGTCTTGTTTGCCTGTTCAATATATAGGTCAAGTGATCCGAGGAATTAAAATTGTTTCTTCCTTGATTGGGATTGTTTCTGAATCCTGTTTTTATTGGCGTATTTGGTAAGTCATAACCAAAAGTTTAGAAATTTTATAGACAACAATGCGTCTCTGTGCTAATCGGGAAATTTTAATGCTTCACGTGTACTTGTTATTCCTGTAATGTTATTTCACTAATCTCTGCGTAGATATTTTCCTAGTCTCAAAGGAATTCGTATCATTTTAATGGATGTATGGCTTGTGAATTACAGTTGTGGTTGATCAGCATATCTTCTTTTGTGGCAAGTGATACTTTCATTTTCCCATTTGTCCTAAGAAAAGGTGTTACTTACATTTCCCCTCAGTTTGTTGTAGAGCTCCTTTATTTAACAATGTCTGCAGGTTTTTGAGAGTCTTTTTGTACTGCTCCCTCCATTTTAGTTCATGTGAACCTTTTCGGAGTACAAGGGTTAAACTGACTAATTTCCAGGAGTGAAGTCGGACATAGTATTTCAAAACTTTTGAAATAAAATATACATATTTAGTAACTACATAGAAAGTAACTAAGTCGATAGTTAACAATTCAAAATATTTGCAAAAAATGTGGTCAAAGGAAACTTGACTTGACTCCCTATATAGTAATTATCATCTGAACTCGAGTTGAAACTTAGATATTAAACTTTAGTATTGTATTACTGGTGAACATTACTTCTTATTCTTCCATATTCTTAAGGAAAAATGTGTCCTTTGAACACCAGGGATAGTTGTCTTCGGCTTTCTACTCATTTATTTGTTTAGCGTCAGAGGTTAACTTTTCCCGGTATTATGTCAAACTTAAGAGATCTGTGTGTAGAAGCAAAACCGCCAAGCAAACGCTTAGTTTTAGTTCTCTGATGTCTGAGGATGAAACATGAAAATGTTTTGTCACAACTACTGATTTTTCCCTAATCCAGATATGTTAAGGCTATCCCTTCTTTCTTTTTGGCATTGATCCATACGATACAAACGAAACGAGCAAGTGCAAAATTTTCATAAATGACTCTATTCATAGAAATGCTAGAGATACTTATATTCTTGATTCCCCATGTGTCATATTATTCTATCGTCTGTTCATGGGTCTCAGAAAATACGTAAGTTGATAAAGTTTACTTCATGATATTAATCAAAGGCATAATGGTTTTATGACACTCCGAAAGATTTTATTGACGTACTTCTCATGCATTGCATTCATTTACATTGACCCATGACCAGATGGCATTATATATGCGTATATATGTATATGAGATATGAAAAAAGGTTACAGCGTTATATACACACCACCACCTGATCAGCTGGTATACGTTGATGATTTGCCCACAGTGGCTGAGATGATATGATGGGATGCCCTCAGAGGCTTGATGATGTTATGTACGTACAGACCGATGCATTGCATGACATTATAAATATTTTATGATTTACAGAGCTATCCAGACTTACATGTTGAGTCCTTTACTCCATGTTTCTTCCATGTCCTTTATATACTGATTTACATGCCTTACATACTCGATACATTATTCGTACAGATGTCCTTTTGTTGGAGACGCTGCATTCATGCCTGCAGGTATAGATAATCAGTTTAACGAGCCCTCATAGCATAACTACATAAGTTGAAATGGAAGGGAGTAGTTTTCTAGGTGTTCCACCTCATTAGAATGTTGACTTTTCTCTTTCTCCTTTCTTCTCCAATGTCATCAGCTATGCATTTGCATGATAATGATATCTTTCCTTAGCTTGGTTATTATGTGATTGCAGTTGAATCAACCGTACATTTGCATGATACTTGATATGTTTCCTTTGCTGGGTTATTCTGAGATTGCGGTTGTGGTTTGCAGGCGGAGGAGAAGATAAGGGTGCTTCATGAAAGGAAAAGTCGAAAGCTGAAGCAATTAGATGAAAAGGGTGCTGAGTCTCACAAGGTTGACATGACCAGAAAATTGGTTTTAAGTCTCTCCTCAAAAATAAGAATTGCAATTCAGGTCGTTGATAAGGTTTCTGAGAAGATAAACAGACTGAGGGATGAAGAGTTGTGGCCACAACTGAATGAACTCATTCAGGGGTATGTGCACTTTTTGACCTTATTGAATGAACAAATAGTTTTTGTCGTATTAAAAATCTCGCATGAAATTGTGAAGAACTTTCTGCCTTTGGTTTTATTTTTCCTCTACAAGCTTATCTCTAACAGCTTCGTCGCATGCGTTTGTCTAATGCAATCAGCTAAAATAATCTACTTATCTGCCTGAATAATTTTAAAACAAGAAATGATTTGGTCCAAAATATTGTTCTGTTTTCTTGTATCCTTGGGGCAATAAAACCTGTAGAGAGCAAAGCACACAAAGAATTTCTGCTGATGACTTCGTCAAATACTTTTCCATTTGGTCTGCTACCTTAGTTACTATTTAAAATAGTTGAATTTCCAAGTAAGTTTGCTTTTTATTCGGATGTAGGACTAACCGTCAAATTTTCTCGCCGACTTTCTGTGTCTTCCCTGATAAGACATTTTTCTATTATTTCTATCTTTTAAGTTTATCTTTTGTGATTTTTGTGTCTAGGCTAAGTAGAATGTGGAAATGCATGCTTGAGTGCCATCGCTACCAATGTGTAGCTATTGGAGAAGCAAAGCAGTTAGACGCCATTTCATCTCACAAACACTTTAGTGATGCTCATCTTGAAGCCACTTTGCAACTTGAGCATGAACTTTTGAACTGGACTTTGAGATTCTCTTGTTGGGTGAGTGCACAGAAGGGTTATGTGAGAACATTGAACAATTGGCTTATGAAATTTTTTCCGGATGCGCCAGAAGAAACAGTCGATGGAATAGCTCCCTTTTCTCCTGGTAGGATTGGTGCGCCCCCTATTTTTGTCATTTGTTATCATTGGTCACAATCGTTTGAAAGAGTTTCTGAGAAAGAGGTGGTTGATTGTTTGCGAGATTTTGCTACAAATGTTCTTCATCTTTGGGAGCGAGATAAGTTTGAATTGCGCCAACGGATGTTGGTGAACAAGGATATGGAGAGACAAGTGAAGAACTTGGAGAGGGAAGACCAGAAGATACAAAAGGGGATTCATGCACTAGACAAAAGAATAGTACTGGTTTCTGGCGAGGAAAATAGTCTCTCATTAAATAGGCATGTTGTTTACCAGAGCGAGACAAGCAAAAACAGTAACCTTCAGGTTGGTTTACAACGTATCTTTGAGTCCATGGAAAGGTTTGCTGCCAACTCATTGAAGGTATACGAGGAGCTTTTGCAACGTATTGAGGAGGATAGACTTGCTTGAGAGCTTGAAAAGGTACTTTTCAGGGGGTTGGTTACGCTTATTCTGTGATAGAAGTTACAGAAGTTTCAGGTTAGGGGACAAAGGGAAACAGAGCAGAAGATTCCGTTATTGCCTCATTGGACTTGCTACTGCTGCTGTAGCACTGTTACAGCTTGATCAGTTTCATCCTCCCTGTGCGGAAAAGAGAGTTTAAATTAAGCTGACAGCAATATGCCTTTCAGGTCACTGCAACAGGAACTTTTTGCAATAGTTGGATCGGATATCCTCGAATCTTCAATTTTAGCTCTCCTTGAGTTTTGGTCCAACAATTATTTGGAGACCTCTGACTAAATATTACCCAGGAAGGAAATTTAATGATGAAAGCTGCAATTTGTGCTGTCTTCTTGGAACTATTTTGATGAACATTTTAGAACTGATAGTTGGAGATATTTGGGTGGTCGAAAGTGCTGAAATGCCAAGCTGGAGCGCCGGGGAGAAAAGAGGTGTAGAATTATTCTTTCATGGCCAATAACTCTTCATTTTGTAGTAGGTGCTTTTGAGTCTGCACGCGGAGACAAAGAGGATGTGTGGTGACGCAAGTCATGAAACTGCAGTTGCCTGGGCATGAGAATGGAGATATTCTGATAGTTGAATAGGGGTGTGTTTTTTAAGATCCAATCAATAATATGTATCTAAAATTAGATATGTACACAAGGAAATGGTTGAAGCCGATGGAGTTTTGACGACAACGAGGTAAAATTCTATCTGATGTTTGTATATGTCTAGTTGGTTTCCATGAAGAAGGATTATGCACCTTTTTATCTCTTCTCGATTTTTTTTAATGTCAGCTCTTCCTTACTATGAAGTATTTAGGTTATAGGGGAACGAGATGTGTCTGTTTTGATCAGAATATTTGAAGACAGATCTCCATATGCTTGTTAAATTTTACACATTTTAGGTTCATATCTTCTTTATCTGTGGTTAATTTTATGTATGTACTGCAGACATGTTCAATAAGGCTATAAATGCACATGAAACAACACTGCAGAGACATGTTCAGTGACATTGCCGGACTTGAAAGATAATAATGAAAAGGTGGAAAGGATCATAAATATTAATCTTGCAGTATAAATAAGTCAGCAGAAAACTATAGTCATCTTCGCAGTAGACATATTAGGGATCCGTTTGTCCATAGATATTTTTTTCCCTTTTTAGAATTTTCTTTTTAAAAACGTGTTTGTCAGTGAAATTTTGTAAGTTTTTGAAAAAAAATCGAAAATGAGTTTTTCAAATAATCACTTTTTCAAAATTTTCAGAAATTTTTGTTTCCTCGCTCGCAAAATTATTAATATTTTTTCATGTCCAAATATAATTTCAAATATTATTTTTCTAACTTAAATACTTTTTTTCTTTCAAAAAGTACAATTTTTATGTCCAAGCGCCTACTAGGTAACACATATTAGCTCCTTCCACCACCCCACCAACAGCTTCGTAGGTCTTGAGACATTCTGCTATGTAAATTCATTTAATACAGCATTATGTGAATTGAAATTTACAAGAAATTTACCTTTCACCAAGTGATACGTACAAGAAAACGTAACTAATTCAGCAGGACACACTGTGACCATCACTAGACATTAATCAATTAAGTAACATTTTTTAAAATATTCTGGAGTTCCTGGTTATTAATTTCTTGAATTGGGAATTCAGAATACAAAATAACTAAGATATGGATCATTAATTTAGACCAGAGCTGCATTTACATACTTGAGAGTCTTTGCTTTGCGAATCTTCCATCTAACTTGGTAAAAACGCAAGACAAAAAATAGTGATTATTACATTGTTATTCCCTGCTTTTAGGTAGGGATACATAGAGATGGCCCAACCCAATTGGTCACACCATGTGGGAGTATCCTGTAATTTCCCTGTCAATAATGTGTGAATGTCAAATGTTAAATAATTCAGTAAAAGATATCCTTAGGAATATGCCAAAACAAGCGATATTATGTTGATTAGCCCCTTCACTTTTTCTTGAGCAGTCAAAATGGTCTTGGCGTGTGAGGCCAACAATTAGGGTTGGATTGAGATATTTTTAGCCCATTGAAAATTGAGGCTTATAAGCCCAGCCCAAGTTAACCCGTTGGCCCTTGAGGCTTGATTGAGGTTGGGTCTGGGCCGGCCCGTGGGCCAAAATTAATTAAATTTAAATTTAAATATTTAATATTTCCAAAAAATAAAAACTAAAAAAATTATTGTAAGCACCTAATTTTTGACCATATTTAAATTTTTGTCACCTTCTACTATGTAAATATTTTTAGGGGTTTAATCTAAGGTTTTTAGCTTTGTTATATTTTTTTTATAGGGTAAAAAATTAAACAATTAATTTAAAAGGTCAATTTACTATTAATATTATTTTTATTTTTATATTTATTTAAAATAAAAAATAAAACAAAAAACTAATTTTTTTCTTAAAAAATTTCGGTTTGAATATAAAAAAAAGTAAAAAGGGAAAGTAGGGAATTAAAAAATAAAAGTAAATGAAGGTGGGGAATATTTTTTTTAAAAAAAGAAGAAAAATGGGAAGTGGGAATTTTTTTTATTAAAAAAAATAAAACAATAAAATAATAATAATAAAAAAATCTGAAAATTCTCAAATTTTTTTCTATAAATAGAAGAGAAAAGAGAGGAGAGAAAAAAGAGGAAAAAAGAGAAAGAGGGAGGAGGGAATTGAGAGAAATTATTTTCTTTTTCTACGTTAAGGGAATTTCTACTTGTGTCATTCTTTCTTCATTTTTCTTTCAAAAAATCTAGCAATTCATCACCCAAAACCCAACAAAAATACTTCATAACATCCCTTTTTACACGTCAAACAGTGGAGTCAACAGTCAAGGTCGAGGATTCCGTTGGAGCTCTGTTCACTAGCTTTGATGTTCTTCTTCGCTTATGCTTGTTCGACGTTCATCTCAGTTATTCTACATGTTCTTTGAGACTCATTTAATTAGAAATTTTGCATTAAAGGTTTATTCTTTCCTCTGTTCTTCTTATCTTATTTCATATGATTTTATTTATTTGCCTTTAAACTTTATAAATAATAATATAAATTAGTCCTTAAATGCTATATGCTTAATCATGTTTATGAAAATATGGTATTCAAACTTGCTTTAAAGTTGGGAAGATTTGGATCCTAATAAGTTTGGGTTTCAATTGTTGGGCTGTAAGGTATTGGTATATGATGGTTTATTTATTCAAATATCTAAAATCATACAATTCTTCTACAAGTAATTCCATAATTCATGACCTTACAATAATCTCAAAGTTTAGGAAGAATAATGAACAACGTTAGAGTGCTTTAGGCGCGCTTTTAATTAGTTTATCACGATTATGTATACATTCGCGTGGTATAATTGTGATTTTCAAAATTAAATCCGAAGTATGTGTTCGTGCAACTTTGGCCAAAACAATCTTAATATAATANTTTAGGGAAATAACTCACGAAACTTTTAATTAGTTTATCGCGATTATGTATACGTTCGCGTGACATAATTGTGATTTACAAAATTAAAATCGAAGTATGTGTTCGTGCAACTTTGGCCAAAACAATCTTAATATAATAAAAATACTATTAATTGTGTACACGTACGCGTGACATGATTTTGGCACAATAAACAAAACGGATTCACACACGTGATTCGTTTCAAAGATAATTCCATATTTTAATAATTTAAAGCGGATAGATAAAATATGAAAACCAATAAATCACAGTTTATCCAAAGTTAATTCAAGCCAAGTTATAGTCAATAAAGCGACCGTGCTAGAACCACAGGACTCGGGGAATGCCTTACACCTTCTCCCCGGTCAACAGAAATCCTTACCCGAACTTTATTTTCAAAAACTAATAATAAAAGAGTCAAATCTTCCTTTGAATAGGGAATCAAATAAAAGGTGACTTGGACCACCCAAAAATCAAATTCCAAGTGGCGACTTTGAATAATAAAATAATCTCTACTTCAAAAATGTCACTTTATTTGAAAAAACTCTTTAACCCACAACAATACATACATATATTTTGGGTGGTAAAAAGGAGGTATGACAGCTCTGACGACTCTGCTGGGGACAAAAACCAGAACTTGTGGTTCAGGGTTCAGAATTCGAGCTTGTAATATGATCTATACTTGGCTTTCTTGATTGTTGATATTACTGTGTTTGTGGCCCTAATATGATAATTGCCGCTTTGATATTATTTGAACTATATAAACTGCCTTCTTACTCCTCCCTTATGAGTCTTCTGAATTTATGGTGCACACGTGCGCGTGCCCCATTGTTAGAGGTCATACCAAATAGAACGAGTCTGGATTAGTAACTAGGCCGGGTAGACTTTCGTGCTCCCGGTACGTTGCCCCCACCTCGGCTCGAGCTGTCCGCTTGGGTAATCCAGGTCTAACCCCCTCCCCCCCCAAGATTTTAAACCTAGAATAACATAGGCTCATGTCGGATCCCTAGTAGGAACGTTTCTTTGCATCACGTGCATTTGACTTTGGGGACTCAACACAGGGGTTGAGTCCGTCTAGGACACGTGTACCTGAAAATTACAAGACCATCCCGATGCATCTTATATGCTACATGTACATTATGTTTGATTTGGTTTGTGCATGTTGACCGATTTCTAAAAAATAAAAATAAGAATTGAGAGAAAACCAGAAGGAAGAAAATAGGAGAGAGAAAATTTACCCAATTTTTAAAAAATCTCGGTATTTGAAAATCCAAAAACCCTGTCAAAAGTTTACCCCAAAACGATTATTACAAAATAAGATTAAATTTTCCCAAAAAAAGAGGTGTCATCCCATTCCTGAAATATTTATGAACTACGCAGGTCTGATTCTCACCGGATGTGAGATACGTAGGCAACCTTCAAAGGGTTCGGCCCTATTTTTTGCAAAAATAACCAAAAGAAAGAAATGTGTCCAGTGTTTTCTTTTGTTTTGTCAAAACAAATAAGCCGACCTAGCTTTGGTTAATCCCGAGCCGTTTTTGTCGGAATAGCCTTAGAACATCTTCAAAATTGTTGAAGGGATGTACTCGCAAGAACAGATGTGTTTGTTAATTGGGCATCACTTTTACCATAATGTCCTTCCCCCGGCACTAAATCTTTCCTTGGAAGTATGAAGGGGCATAGTTGCAAAATAGCCACCCTTTCCTTGACCACAATTGCAAAAATAGCCACCCTCTCTTTGACTTTTCTTAAAATTGGGTTATTCACAAAAGATTATTTTGCAAAATGAGTGTATTGGTTTTGTCTTTTGAACTAGTATCAACCCTTACCTTAACCACCCGCAGGTACAAAATGAGCATTGTTCAGAACGCACATTTGAAGTTTGTAGTCGAAGCTCCACTTCATCTTCAGATGTGGTAGTATGACTTGGGAAAGATGGTTAGAAATGGGTCACCAAGCACCTGGGAGCCCTCCCAGATATTATGAAAGTTAAACCACGGGACGATTTGATTGAGGCACTAGTGACTTTTTGGGACCCCGTTCACAATGTCTTCCGTTTCTCCGATTTTGAGCTTACTCCCACTTTAGAAGAGATAGCTGGATATTCCGGGTTTGGCAGGGATTTGAGAAACCAGAAGCTCATATTCCCGAGGTCTCTCTATGTACACCGATTTTTCGATCTTCTGAACATCAGTAAACAAATCAGAAAGACCAACGTAGTCGAAGGGTGCTATTCTTTCTATTTACTGTACTCTAGGTTCGGGCAGCTAAATGGGTTTGAAATGCATGAAAAGGGCCTTAACAACAAGCAGAACAAGGACACATGACAGATTCACCGTCACTTCGCCTTCATAGTGGCGTTTCTGGGAATTATGGTATTCCCAAAGGAGGAGCGGACAATTGATACCTGCACAGCTAGGGTTTTACAGGTCCTCACTACCAAAGAACATCACACTGTTGCTCCGATCATTCTATCAGACATTTATTGGGCGTTG